AAAAAACACGAAAAAGAAACCCCCCCTAAAATCGAGTTTTCTACCCGACAAAGTGGACGGAAGTGAAAAATATTCACTGTAAAATGCCCAAAATGCCCCTCCAAGAAATCTGGTCATGAGGGTCATAAAGCTGTTAAGTGAAAACTGGAAGCTGAAACTTCACGAGGGATTTCCAGTTCCAAGACGACATTTTCTGAAAAAACACGAAAAAGAAACCCCCCCTAAAATCACGTTTTCTAAGCGACTATATCGAAAGAAGAAAATAAAACTGATATGAAAAGTCTAGAATGCCCCTAGATCAGATTATGCAACAAAATTTCAAAATGAGTCCATAGGGGGCTCAAATTACAAAGGAAAGGGTTTTTCTTGAAAACGATCATACACGTAAACATAACTTACCTATTTGGACGTGTTACAATGGCCCATAGCTTAAGAATACCATTGATGCAAAATCCGACCCCCCAACGCCCAAAAAGGCAAAAATGGACTTAAAATGAAAAACATGAAAACCAAAATTAGGAAATGATTTCAAATGACCGTTTGGCCCTTGGCCACACTTCATACAAGATTAATGAGACCTAATAGAGGTGCCGGAACACACTTTACACCACCCGATTTGAAAATGAACCCTTAAAGACTCGGTTTATATTATTTTAGCCCAAAAGTGCAATGTGTGAACTAAAATGCAAAAATGAAAACTAAATAGTGTTTGGCCCTTGGCCAAACCTCACATATGGCAAATGAATGCTAAAGGATGAATTACATACACAATGCACACACCGGCGCGAAAATGACATATTGAAACCCAAGTTTTCATGTTTTTCTCATTAAAGGCAAAATTCGACATTTTTCAATATACATGGACTACAAATGAAGTTTGGCCCTTGGCCACATATTATATACATAGGATGAATACTAAAAAGTGTATTTAAGCACATAATACAAGTTTGGAATCAAATATACATATTTGAAAAAATGGCTACAAATGGCATTTCAAGTTAACCTTTACAAAAATTGAAACCTTCATTCTACAATCATCCAAGCAATGATGAACATCACGAACCAAGTCTTCCTACCTGATCAAAACTCCCAGTAACTTCGGGATGAGTAAACAAGTTTACTCATAGAGAATGAGCATGCATCGACTCGATTTCTTTAGAGATTTTTAGGACTAACATGATATAATTCAAAAGGGATCATGCCACCTAACGTCTATGCCAAAGATTAGACTCAGGGATCATCCTAAGCTACCATGGAGTAATAACAACAAGAATCATGATATATATACACACATGAAACAAGTTATAGTTGGGATAATCCAAGATCATGACAAAAAGGATACTAGAACATAGGTTAACATGAATTGCATTATCAAATACAATTAAGCAAGATTTAGAATGATTCCATACAACACGACAAAAAGATACTAGAATACAAGGATTTCATTTTCAATGCAATTATCATGGTTGGAGCATTCTAATTAACATGATAGGATTAATACATGAAATCAAGAACATGGCATAATATCTATGCAATTTAACAAGGTTTGGACATTCCAATTGACAAGACAAGAATAGTACATAGAATCATAGATAATACATAGTATCAATGCAATAAAACAAGATTGGGATATTCCAATTAACAAGGTAAGAATTATACATGAAACCAAGAATAAGGCATAACATATATGCAATTTAATAAGGATGGAATCTTCCATACTACACGAAAAGAGTCTTAAATCTTCAAGGAATACAACACTTGAAATTTAAGAAATTAAATCACGAATGAAGCATAAAATCTATGCGATGAGACAAGATTAGAGCATTTCACATACATGACAAGTTTAAATCTTCAAGGAATAGCAACTTGAAATTTAAAGAGTGAAATCAACCAATGTGAAAACTCGGATATCGCTCAGATTAAAACTGTACTCTTGAGATCACTTTAGGGCTACTAACCCATGGGTACCTTTCCCCTACTGCGCACTATAGTTTAGAGGGACAATCCCCCATACTAGAACCAAGTTCTAGCCATGTTAATTCTTGATTGATATCCCAAGTTCCAAAATCTATAAGTTATGTAAGTCAAAATTGTATCAAAATACTAGAAATGCATTAACTACGTTTCATGCACAACCAAGATTTTGGAACACATAAGTCATGCCCTAAGTTCTCAACTATGATGGCATGTGAAATGTCAAGAAATCAATGTGTGCATTTATATAGATCACAACCAAGATAAATAGCATATGGAATCCATCGAAGCAAATATACCATAAGATACATGATTTAATTGTATACTAAACAACACGTGTGAATAAACCATTCCGAAATAAATGAGCATGTTCATTAAGCACATTAATGAAACCAAGATACAAGAAGTCTAGATACATGATATCAAGGCATGATTATCTCGAGGGAGACATAAAAGGAAATTTAATATACTTAAGGGATTAAATTATTAAGGTTACATGGTAAGTCCAAATGTTCTACGAACAAGTTATGTCAAGGATCATGTCAAAGCTAAGTTCAATGTCAAGTTTCAAGTTCATTTCATACACGACACAACCATGTGAGTTAAGTTCCATACAAGAGAAATGAATAAATATAAGTTTCAAAACTTATCCGATTATGCTCAATACAATACACGTGAAGGAACTATTCAAGAAAATCATGAATACAAAGTTAAAAACTTAATCAAGTGCATAGAACCATTAAATAGATTTTAATTGTTTTATTTAATTAAAATCTCTAGATTTAGAAAGTCATCCAAATGACCTCAATTTAATATATGTTATACAACATGTCACAACTTAATTTAAGAACATGGTACAAGTACATTTCATGCAAGGTACGGCCACGAGTATTAAACTTTAATACTAGAAAAATAATAATTGAAAGGTTTCAAAACCTAATCAAATATTCTAGATTTAATATATGCGAAACTATACGACATGCATATCAAGAATTTCAAGTCAGAAATCCAACGGGATGAATAGTACACTTGGAGCAATTTAATTAATCTAATTAATTAAATATTACTAGATTTCAAAACTTTTTCGATTACTCTCAAATTAATCTATGTTGAAGAGCATGCTAAGGCCTATTATAATATGCTATCACATGTTGATTTAAAGCTAGATAAGGCCATATGATTTAATATTTTGTTCAAGATAAATATTAAATAAAATCTTCATTACTTGTCCAAATAATCTAGATTTAATATATGTCAATCTACATATCAAGGGGTAATATTCTATCATGCCACATGATTAAACAAAGCTATGGACAACCAGAAAAATTAAATCTTTCACAAGAAAAATAAATAATAAAATCTCTAGATTTTGTGATTCAAGTATGCAATCAAGTTGTATAAGCATCGCAAGCATGTAATATAGCAAGAAAGTAAATTATAACACCCCCTACTTCAATTTGAGATGAAAATCCCAAATGCCCACTGGAAGAAAAGTGTTCCGAATCCGCCGAAATCAAAGGGTTTTGTCGGGGACAACACGATCTACATGAATCTGAAGGAAGCCCCATGAAAATCACAACTTGACTTCAAACCCAAACTCAAGAAATGGTCGAAAATGAATTCTAATAAGGGGGAATGGTAGAACATGTCGAGGGAAACAAAAAATGTGAAGGCCAAAGACTATTCATTTAGGAAGAGTAGATCAAAGGAGGAGAGAGAAGGTGGTAGCTCCATGGGCATCTATGGCTGCTTTAGGTCACGCAAGGGGAGTGGGGAAGATGAAAAATGAAATATTTCATCCCCGTTTTATAGAATCTCAAAAAGTGCCCTGATCTGGCCCTACCAGGTCCGGAAAAGTGGATTTTGAGCAAACGCACTCAAACGGAAAAACTTCATGAACAAAAAAGATTCAAAATGAGAAAATATAAACAATGGAAGAAACAATGTCGAAAACCGAGTCCCGAGCAGAAAGATATGCCCCGAACAAGTTCGGCGGCAACCGGGTCTAAAAACTCTGAAACTGGAGAAAAACGACCAGAAGAAAATTCTAAGAGTCCATGACTTGACAAAATGTGAAAATGAATCCTGTACGAGGATCCAGGCTCTAGACGAGGTATTTTGCAATAACTTTCGTTAATTTCACAATGGCCCTACAAAAAGGGTTAATTGCGAAACTGCCCCAAAATGAAAATATCTTCCAAAAGATATTTTCTTAGATACCCCTGAAATAAAATATCTTTAAAAGATATTTATGAAAAACACCCCAAGAAATGAAAAAGATTCTGAAGAATTGTGCATCCATGCCGCAATAGACACCGGGAGCAACCAGAGTACTTTCTTGCAAAAGTAAATATCCGTATTTCGAGGAAACCACTAAAGATGAAGACACGTGAAGTCAAAAGCCAACTTCGAGCATGAAAAGTGAGGTTGTGCCAAAAACTGACAAACGGAGATAAGACAGAATAGGAAAAATGACGAAAGGCGCATAGTGTCCGAAAAGTGAAAATACAGAAATAACTCGGTCCTCAAAGAAAGTTGTCAATCCACGGAAAAGAGTCTCAGAAACCATTTCTGAGCACTCGAGACGACACTAAGCGACAAGAAACAGAGCTCAGAAAAGAAAATTAAACGAAAAAAATTTATCCATAAAATTTTAGGAAAATATAAAGGGAGATAAATGACCGGGTCGTTACACTCTGGCACCTTTGAAGATTTGATGAATGATTCTAATCGGTTCGATAGCTCTCTTTTAACACTTATCAATTCAGGAGAATTTGGTCCAGAGGTGTTAAATGGAATGAAGTATTTTCTACTACAGTTGTCAACTACCATTAACAACTTCAAGTCTTCTTCTGATAATCTCAATGAAATTAAAGCTGAGCTAGTGGATGTCAACAAAGATAAGGAAAAGATTGGGAAATAGGTAAAGATTGATCATGTTAACCTTCAAAAGGCCCAAGATGCTTTGGATGATATATCCAAAGAATTTAATCAGCTGAGTGTTAAATTGAACAAGTTAACAACTATCAAAGAAAAAGCCATAGAAGAAGTGTCAAATTCTCAAGCGAAGCTGTCAAAACATAATGGTCCTTGGAAAAAGGCATTGGAAGCTGCTAAGACGTTAAAAAAATGAAAGAAAAATGCTGAAGACGTTTTATTTTTGGTTCAATCTGAATGGGAGAAGCTAAAGAAATCCTGTGATTTTTAAATTTCTTTTGAAATTCTGGATGACTGTAATTCGGCCATAAGACCTAAAAAAATTAATTTTGTTGCATGTTAAGTCTACTCTTATTTGTTATTTTGAGATAACTTTTATCTAGCCTTGAATACTAGTATCCAATTAATAACCAATCAACTTAATTAAGGCTAAATGACTTTTAAACATAAATTTCAACCTTAATAAAATGATTAGTTAATGGAAATTCACTAAGTTTCACCCAAATTCCCCTTTTTTGGGGTATTCGAGGCTTGTTGCTCCCTTATATACACTTCATAAAATGAAAGACGATATTTCTTTAAGTAACGACCATTGATAGGGTTAGGACATACCTTACCATAAGAATCCTTTAGCCTATAAACACCTCCTGATTGAACCTGATCAATGATATAGGGACCATCCCAAGTAGGAGACCATTTTCCCAACTCTGAATCTTTCTTCCCTAATGGCAATATAGCCTTCTAAACTAGATCACCTTCAGCAAATGAATTGTGCTTAACCTTTTTGTTGTAAGTTTCAGCCATTTTTCTTTTCTGCACCTGTAAATGATCTAACGCCTCCATTCTAACTTCATCTAGCCCTTCCAATTCCATGCACATAGCTTGTGTATATTCTTCAGGATCTAAATGCATTTGACGTGCAACCCTTAGGGACCAAAATGTCATCTCCATAGGTAAAACGGCATCATGCCCAATACCAAAGAATAAGGAATAACTCCCGTGCTAATCTCTTGGATGTTCTCAACGCCCATAAAGCCTCTGATAATAATTTATGCCACTCTCTTGGATTTTTGTCAACTATTTTTTCAATAGAGGTTTTTATTGACTTATTCGATGACTCGGCCTGCCCATTACCTTGAGCGTAATAAGGTGCTGAATTCAATATTCAAAAATTATATTGCTGAGCCATTACTTCAACTTCATGGCAAATAAAGACTGAACCTCTATTAGCTGTAATTGATTCAGGAATACCAAATCTGTGGATAATATGTTCCTCAATAAATTGCACAAGACTATCACCTGTAACTGATTTGGCTAGTACAGCTTCAACCCATTTCGTAAAATAATCTGTCATAACAACAATATAATAATGTTATTCTAACAATGATGGTCGAAGTTTACCAATCAAATCCATTGCCCAACCCCTAAATGGCCAGGGTTTAATAATAGCATGAAGGTCTTCGGCTAGAACTCTTTGAATAGGTCCGAACTTTTGACATGCTTGAGTGCTTGACAACCCTTTGCATAAACCATACAATTTTTCCACATTTTGGGCCAATAATATCCATGTTTATGAATCAACCATTTCATTTTTGGCCCTGCCTGATGTGCCCCACACAGCCCTTCACAAACTTCTATCATAACTCTTAACGCCTCAATTTCTTTAAAGCATTTAAGCAATGGCTCTTCAATAACACTCTTCTTGTACAACACATTATCTAATAAAACATAGCTTAAGGCTTAGCATTTAACCTTTGGATTACCATTAGGTGCTGGATTCTTGATATATTCTATAATCGATTGCCTCTAATCATCTTCTTTAATTTGAGGATTAAAAGATTCAGCCTCTAAAGGACAAATTTCTGGCATAGCTTGTTCTCAATCTTGGGCAGATAGTAATGATCTTTTTTGAATTTTTACCAATCTAACCATTAATTCATCTGGCATTCTTAAACCGGATGCAAGTTGAGCCAAATCATTGGCCTCTTTATTGTAAGCTCTTAGGACATGTTGAATTATTACATCATCAAAGCGACCCAATAATTGTATAACAATTGAATGTAGAGGTCGAAGATTCCAATTCAAACAACGAAAATCATTGGAAATTTGTTTAAGTACGAGTTCAGAATCTCCAATAATTTTAATGGCTGAAGCTTTCATTTCTAACACTATTTCAAGGCTGATTATTAACGCCTCATATTTAGCCTAATTATTAGTACATTTAAAATCCAAAAAGAAAGAGAAAACTGTTTTTACTCCTTTTGGAGATATAATAACAACACCTGCTCCAGCGCCATCTCTGGTACTTGAGCCGTCGAAAATTAAAGTCTAAGGAGTTAGGCTGATTTAACATGTTTCACCTAACTCTGAAATTTTAGGACTTATTTCAATGCATGGGTGGTCAGCAAGGAAATCGACCAAAGCTCTCCCTTTACTGATTTTTGAGAAGAAAATTGGAAAGTAAATTCCATGAGGGCTAATGACCATTTTTTGATTCGGCCACTTATGATCGGTATTGATAACATGTACTTAATTAAATCAGTTTGGCACACAATATAAACAAGTACTGGTTTCATATAAACTCTCAGCTTAAGCGCTGAAAAATATAAAATCAAACATAATTTCTCAATCGGAGTATATTTTTGCTCGATTGGAGTAAGTACACGACTTAAATAATACACTACTTGTTCAATACCCCACTCATTCTCTTGGCCAACAAGCTGCCAATTGAATCTTCTGCCGCTGAAATATACAACTTCAAAGGTTAATTCTTCCTTGATGGCATCAACATAGGTGGTCGAATAAGATATGACTTAATAGCCTCAAACAATTTTTAGTGTACATCCTTCCAAATGAACTCCTCTTCTTTCTTTAGTTTCAGCAATGGTGAGAATGCACGCACCTTTCCTGCACAATTAGAGATAAAACGTCGAAGAAAATTTATTTGTCTAAGCAGCCGTTTAAGCTCCTTTTTATTTTTTGGCGGTTAAGCCTCTATAATAGCTCTCGCTTTATTTTTATCAATTTTGATCCCTCTCTGATGTACTAAGAACCTTAAAAAGTTTCCAGCAGTTACTCCAAAAGCACATTTCAGCGGATTCATTTTTAACCTATGTGCTCTCATACGGTTAAAGGATTTTCTAAGATCAGTTAGATATTTGAATTTGGAAGGAGATTTCACTGCAACATCATCGATATAAACCTCCATGAAGTGACCGATCATATCATGAAATATAGAATTCATGGCTCGTTGGTAAGTTGCCTCTGCATTATTTAACCCAAACGGCATTACAACCCATTTAAAAGTGCCGATTGCTCCTGGACATCTAAAAGCTGTTTTAGCCATATCTTCTTCAGCGATATAAATCTTATTGTAACCCGAATGCCCATCCATAAATGACAAAATTTCGTGTTTGGCTACCGCATCAACCAGTTGATCAGCAATGGGTATAGGATATTCTTCCTTTGGAGTGGTTGTATTAAGGTTACAAAAATCATTGCAAACTCTTAACGTACAATTTTTATTCAAAACAGGAACAATATTAGAGAGCTATTCACAATATCTAGCCGTTCGAATAAAACTAACGCCTAATAGTCTTTCAACCTCTACTTTCACTTTCAAAACAACATCAGGGGCCATTCTTCTAGGAGGTTGTTTAAAAGGCTGAAATCCATCTTTTATTGGCAACCTATGTTCTACCAAGTATCTAGGTAAACCTAACATCTCATCGTAATCCCCATGCAAAACAACCCTTATATTCTTTTAACAAAGCAATAAAGGTTGTTTGCATAAATGGATCCAATGAGGGGCTGATATACGTTGGCCGAGGTTCTTCTTTTGTTCCAAGATTAATTTTAAGTAGTGGGTTTTCAACATCGGCCTTTAAATCTTCTAATTTCAAAGGAGCATCCTCTAAATCTTTCAACTGAATTGCATCTTCGGCCACTATTTCTTCTTCCATTTGTTGTTCAGCAGCTAAGTCAACCACATTAACCATTCAGTCATTAATCACCATCAACCATTTTTCTGTCAAATAGGCACGAAGTCTAGCCAAACTTTACTGAAGGGCCAGCTCCTTCTCTTTCTTCTTTGTAGAGGCATCAAACATCATCAAGTTCTGTTAAAGTAGCCTTAGCATCCGACCTTTGAACAAAAACCGTAATCGGTCTCTCAAACTCTTCACAAAGTTCTTTAATATCTCTTGGGGTTATTTCCTTCTTCCATGTTGCCCCCAAGGCTTCCATTGATTTTCAATTGTAATCAGCCTAATTGGGCTGACATCATCCCTCATACAATTGTGCTTTAGCCGAATTGACACTTGCCACAAACGGTTGTTTATCTGTCCAAACTATCTCCACTTCATCTCCATTCCAAAAAATTAAAAACTGATGTAGTGATGAAGGGATGGCATAATTGGGGTGAATCCAATCTCGACCGAGTAAACCATTAAAAGCTGCATCAGTCTCTACCAAAAAGAAAACTGTCATATATATCTTGCTTCCAACCATTGTTTCTAGTGAAAGAACTCCTTTTGCTTGAACCACTGAACCAGTAAAACCGCTGACAATCAAATCAATCGGCATAAAATCATCCTCTGTTTTATTTAGAAGTTTCATTATCTTTGTAGACAACACATTAACAGTTGAGCCATTATCAACTAACACCTGGGAGATCTAAACTCCTTCCAACCAGATTTTGATGCAAAATGGCCTTAAGTGCTGACATGTGATGGTGGTTAGTTTCTCCAAAATTACTCTTGTTGGGCTACTTCTTACTAAAGTTTCCTCTAATTGGTATTGAACCTTATTCTTCACATAACATAACCTTTGATTGTTTGGCTATTTTTTTTTAGGGGCGTGCCAGAGTCTTTTGACTCAAATTGAAGGTAACCAAACTTATCCTTGATCGAAAAAGGAAATTAGTCCTTATAGAAACTCAGGCGATTTTAGGAAAGCAAGGATTACCACTTTCCTTTTGGGTTCTTTAATGCCTCAATGAACAGGACTTTTGTAACAAAGAATGGAACAAATGAAGGGAGCAAAGGATACTGCACAAACGTTCACTAATTCCATAAAAATAAACTTACAAAATAAAATATGGAGAGGACAGAGCCAAGCGTCCAATTTTATTCCATAAGTGCAATTCCAATACAAGTTTACAAGTATAGGAATTATTGATACACTAGAATTCTACTCCTAAGGAAAGAACAGAATAAAAAAAATACATGTAAAGGAAAGAAAATATAAGAAAGATACTACATTGTATGAAATTACGTTATGTTGGTCGGGGACTTCTTGCGTAGGATCTCTCCATCAATATTTATAGACTCCTTAGTTAGTTGGCAACGTTTGGTTTTGGCAATTCCAACTCCTCTGTGAATTCAAATTCAAACTCTTCTTTTAAATTCAAACATCATTTGTTTAAACTTATCTTTGCACCAATTCTTTCTCCAAAAACACGTGCCTTTATTATCACTCTATCAAACTTACATACAAGATATAGCCCTTTGATGATGTGGCATTGTATGTACCACACGGTTAAATGAGGAAATTGCTTCAAGATATATATTATCACATATTAAGTGGAGTCACATACACGTGTTGCCATGTATTGACCCAAATAAAACCAATTCCAGATATTGATATAGAAATTGTTTTTGTCCTTGAATAGAAGTCAGAGAATAATAAATCTCAATTAATAATCCCTTTTTTAATAATAAAATAATTTAAACCAATCTACCCATGTTGTGGGGCCGAATTAGAAAAAATTATTTTAGGGTGCAAACAATGCCCCCCCAGCTCCTTAAAAATGAGATCAAATCGAATTTTTGAAGAGGTGAAATTGATATAAAACAATTTAAATCAGCCACTAAGAATTTATCGTACTAAATTAGCCACTAAAAATCGACGTCTCTAAGATAACACATATTCATCATAATTCAATAGCAATGCCAAGTGGCCAAACCTCTATCCAAGTATTTCCAGTCTTCAGTACTAACCATAACGTCTTTTAGCCACTCTAGATTTACTTTCGACCGCTCAAGAACCATTTTTGACTGATGTTGAATTTAGTAATAATGTAATGACCCGGTCATTTTCCTCCCTTTCCTTTTTCTCAAATTTTACCGATAAATTTTTTTCGTTTAATTTTCTTTTCTGAGCTCTTTGTTTCTCATCACTTCGTGTCATCTCGAGTGCTTGGAAATAGTTTCTGAGACTCTTTCATCTGGATTGACAACTTCCTTTAAGGGCCGAGTCAATTCCACATTTTCACTTTTTGGACACTATTCACTTTTTTGTCTTTTTCCCCGTTTGTCACTTTTTGGCACAATCTCACTTTTCATTCTTGAAGTTGGTTTTTGACTTCATATACCTTCATTCTAAGTAGTTTTCATGAAATACGTACCTTTACTTTTGTCGAAAAGCTTTCTAGTTACTCTCGGCGTCCATAGGGGCATGGATGCATAGTTCTTCAGAAACATTTTCTTTTCTTGGGGTATTTTTTTATAAATATCTTTCAAAGATATTTATTTCAAGGGTTTTTAAGAAAATATCTTTTGGAAGATATTTTGATTCTGGGCAGTTTTGCAGTTAACCCTTTTTGTAGGGGCCATTGTGCAATTAACGAAAGTTATTGCAAAATACCTCGTTTTGAGCCTGGATCCTCGTATGGGATTCATTTTCACTTTTTGTCGAGTCATGAACTCTTAGAATTCCATTCCGGTCATTTTCCCCAGTCTTAGGGATTTCTGACCCCAGTTGCCTCCGAACTTGCTTGGGGCATATCTCTCTGCTCGGGACTTAGTTTTTGACGTCGTTTCTTCCGCTGTGCATATTTTCTCATTTCAATTCTTTTTTGTTCACGAAGTTTCACTATTTGAGCCCGTCTGCTCAAATTTCACTTTTCCAGACTTAGCGAGGCCCTTTCGGGGCACTTTTAGGGTTTTACTATAAATAAAATGTCTTAAAATGAAAAATCACTTTTTCATCATCTTCCTCCCTCTCTTGGCCGGCCATCCATGGCAGTCATGGCTACCACCCTTCTTCCTTCTTTTCCGGCCACTTCCCTCGTGTAAAATGTTGTAGTGCCTTAGTGTTTTATGTTCGCCTTGACATGCTCTACCTTTTTCCCTTATTAGAAACTATTTTTGACCATTTTTTGAGTTCGGGTTTGAAGCCAAGTTTGGATTTTCATGGTACCTCCTTGGTGTTTAATGGTCAACTCGTTGTCCCCGACATAACCTAGGAGTATCGTCGGATTCGGAGCACATTTCTTTCGGTGTAGATTTGAGATTTCATTTTAAATTGAGGTAGGGGGTGTTATAGATTATATTCTTGATGTATTACATGCTATTGATGCTTATACAACTCATTTACATGTCTTTGTAACAAATCTAGAAAACTTTATTATTTATTTTTCTTATATGAGATTTGATTCTCCCAGTTGGTTATACCTTAGTTTAAACATATGACATGATATTAAATTACACCTTGATATGATCATTGACATATATTAAATTGAGAGCTTTTGGATAAGTATTGAAGTTTTTATTTAATATTTTTCTTGAATGAAAGTTTAATTCATGTGGTCTTATCTAACTTGAAATTAATATGTGATGTCATATTATATTAGGTCCTTGCATACTCTTCAACATATGTAAATTTGAGAGTAATCGGAGAAATTTTAAAATCTAGAGATAATTAATTAATTTGATTAATTAATTTATTCCAAGTGTACTATTCACTTCATTGGATTTTTGACTTGATTTTATTGATGTACATGTCATACACTTCTACATATATTAAATCAAGAATATTTGATTAGGTTTTGAAACCTTTCATTTATTATTTTTCTTGTATGAAGGTTTAATTATCATAGTTGTTTCTTGCATGAAAAATTCTTGTAACATGCTAAAAAATAAGTCTTGACATGTTTTATAACATACTTTAATTTGAGAGCATTTGGATAAGTTTCAAAATCTAGAGATTTAATTAAATGAATCAATTAAAATCTATTCAATGGTCCCATGAGCATGATTAAGTTTCTAACTTGGTATTCATGACTTCCTTGACAAGTTCCTTCACATGTATCAAATTGAGAATAATCAGATAAGTTTTGAGACTTACATTTATTTATTTCCTTTGAATGGAATGTAATCCACATCGTTGTATCTTGTATGAAATGAACTTGTAGCATGATATTGAACTTATCCTTGATATGGTTTTTTGACATTTCACATGCCATTAAAGTTGAGAACTTAAGGCATGACTTGTGTGTTTCCAAAATCTTAGTTGTGCATGGAGTGTGGTTTATTGCATTATTTGTATCTTGATACATTCTTGGTTGCACAACTTGTTGATTTTGGAACTTGGGATATCAATCAAGAATTGACATGGCTAGGACTTGGTTCTAGTATAGGAGATAGAGAACTCCCTATATTATAGTGTGCACTAGGGGAAGGTACCCATGGGTTAGTAGCCCTAAAGTGATCCCAAGAGTACGGTTTTAATCTGGGCGATATCCGAGTATCCACTTTGGTTGATTTCAATCTTTAAATTTCAAGTTACTATTCTTTGAAGATTTAAAACTTGTCGTGCTATGTGGAATGTTTCAATCTTGTTTAATTGTATAGATTTTATGCTTCATCTTTGATTTCACTCTTTAAATTTTAAGTGTTATTCCTTGAAGATTTAAGAACATTTTCGTGTTTTATGGAATATTCCAACCTTGTTTCCTTGCATAGAGTTTATGCTTTATCTTTGATTTCACTCCTTAAATTTCAAGTGTTATTCCTTGAAGATTTAAGAACCTTTTCGTGTCTTATGAAATGTTCCAACCTTGTTTAATTGCATAGATATTATGCATTACCCTTGAATTCAGGCCTTGCCCTTGTCGTGTTAATTGAATTGTTTCAATCTTATTAATTTTCTTAGTTACCTCGTTTCATGTTACTTTATGCTATCGTGACTTAGGAATGATCCTATACATGTAACTTTA